TTGGCGTCACTAGGGCCGTAGAGTTGCCTTCTGGGCCATGAGGGAAATACTTCCCGATGATTGGTCCAGTGAGTTGACTGACGCGCCGGTGGACAAGTCCGGCATTAACAATTTTTGAATATTTCTGACTAACTGACTTGGGCCCCTCCAAGTCAGAACAGAGATTCAATAATTTTATGACGTTTTTAAATTCTGTCTTTTTAAAATTCTTTTTAAATGACGAAGCGAGATCACAATATTATGATGATGAAATAAAATATTAATTATTTCTTGATATTTATATCCTTTTCAATGGTATTTTATAACTTAACTCACATTGAAATTATTTATATTCAATAATAATTCTGTGAAGATATTGGTTTATTGCATTAACTTTTGTTTCTATAATTATACGGTCAAAAATTACGAAATGTCTCGAAATAAACGTAATTTAGAAAAATAAAGGCTTTTTTTTCGTTATATTATACTTAGAGTATATTTAGTATATCTTTATGAAATTAAGAAAAAAAAAGTATTTAAGTTACAATTTACACAATTGAAACTGAATGTAAGTATTCCAGCTTCCCGCGTTATTTAAATAGAAAACAACATAGTATGTATGTTGATTGGAGTAGAAAATAACATACTATGTATGATGAAAAGTTTCCAACCTATGCTACAAATGTACGAAGGTGTCCGCGAGATATATCAAGGTCAAATCACTGGAGTTGATGGATCGATTGGATACATGTTCGAAAATAGCAATATGCTGGAACACATGAGGAGTACTGAAGAGCTTTACGTTGATGAAACCTTTTAGGCATAATTGTTTTCATATCTTTTAAAAAAGAACTATTTGTTCTCTTATAATTTATATAAAATTCATATTTTTCTTAGAGCATACCACAACTTTCATGCGGAGTACAATTATTAATCATATACCTTAGGTGTATGAACGTGGCGAGTACCTATAATAAGTCAATTGGTTTTTTTTAAGGAATTTTAAAGACATTTTATTGAAATGTTTGTTGTAGGGGATTTCTACACTATTCGTCCTTTATAAACACAGCAGTTTGGCAGTGGATCATAAATCGAGTTTCTGACATATGCCAAAATCTCCGTGCAGTTGTAGTGGATTACGAAGCTGCACTTTTAAGATCTCTTCGCAACACAATGCCATGGATTCGCTGACGGGGTTATTGATTTCACTTTGCAAGAGCACGTAATGAAATGATTGTGTAGTTAGTATCTAATTAAGTTCCATTTCATAGGCTGTGCCAAGAAAATGGAAGAAATTGCGACTCTCGCGGCACGGTGAATTAAATGTCATTCTGCAACTAATATGGGGTATTCTATTGTTACCAGTTCACCGATTTCCAGAGGCAATTAGAATAATAACTCGGATTATCCAAATTCATGAACTATCAAGTGATAGGTTATATATTTTTCGAAGATATTTAGAAAGGTATTGGCAACCCTTAGCTGGAATAGTATCTGTTCATAATTCTCCATGGCGTATCAGCAATATCGCTGAAGTATCCAATCGTATTCTTCTCTCGAGAGTTGGTTGGGAACATCCACCTTTGTTCCGTGTTTTGTGTATGGATCATAGTTCAATTTTATACCTCTATAACTTTTTATGGAAATTATTAAGAATATGTATATATATTGTAACGTTATTTTTCTACCCCCCCCCCTCAAAAAAAAGGGGGTATATTCTATAACGCACCTTCCTTCAGGTGAGAATCCTGAGTAGAACCATCCCTGGGAGACTAAGACTACTTTACCTAGGGCGCCAAGTTATTTTTATTCACCAGAACAACTAAACTGGTATAACTTACAACTAATTCAAACTTAAATCTAAACTCCAGATCTCAACTTACTAACTAACTCAAAATCTACACAATCTCTCAAAGTCCCCAATACTTAAAACTAAATCTCAAACTTATAGCAAAGTCTCAATACTTAAAACTAAGTCTCAAACTTATATCTAACTTAACTAAGATGGTTCTACAAAAATCAGGATCCTCCTGAACAGGGCATGTCCTGGCCCTCAGTTGTGTAGGTTGTGGAGAGGGGTCGTATCCGGCCAACAAAATAAAACTACACAACCGAAATAATCGAAATAAGAGACCAAACGAAATAAACTAACTAATGTACTGGGTTGAAGGTTCCCAAACTACCAGAAATAAACTAACAAGTTCAACATGTTCTTTTAACTCTCAAATTTATTATAATAATTTTCTCAATTAGGTTTTCTCAACCATTACTAGAACTCAAAACATCATCACAAATTTCTATATCAAATAAACAGTTACGCTATCACGATCTTCAAAATAAATCAACTAGAACTCCGACTTGTTACAATTCTGGAGCTCAAATAAACCTTACTTACTAACTAAAGACTAGTTCTTAACAAAATATTTCTCAATAAATCGTAATTCAAAATTCTAAACTCACAAACGCAATATTTTAATTCTCCACAATAAATCGAATCAATTAAACTAAATCATATCTTCTTTATTAAAATCTGCAATTAAGCTTAAACTAACGAGTACGAGAGCAAACCAAGCCTCACGGATTTTCTTTAATTCAACAAAATAATTTTTACTAGCTACAAATTTACCTATAAACCCATTACAAATCTCTTCTCAATAACTTACAGTTTCAGCAGAGCTCTAGATGTTACTAGTTTTACTGAACCTGGTCCTAGTTGTTCTGGACCTCCTTTCACAGGAGCAGTACTTCTCCTGTGTTCTAGTTTGCTGACTGCACCTTCACTGGATCTCCATCTCCTCTAACTCCAGTCTTGGCTTGATCTTGACTACCTTCTTCTGTGGCTTGCCCTCGACTGACTCGGAGCTTGGCTATCTCTCGACTCTCTCGCGAAAAATCTCCATTCAAAATTCTTAACCTTTGTTCTTCTTTCTCCTTCCAGGGTCTAATTCTTTTCAAATTATCAAGGCACATTTCTCATTGGTGGTTATCTTCACGTGACTTCTCCCAGATTTTCATGTGGAGGGGTCACTTAATTCTAAGGTGCACCCAAAACTTAATTCTAAACTCAAAAACTTATCTTCTAGACTCAACAACTTAATCCTAGGCTCCAAACTTAATCCTAAGACCACATCCACACTTCCATCTTCACCTTGGAGTCCCATTTCACTGGCGACAGCCCCGTGACTACAACCCTTAGGGCTGGAACGTCTCCCAGCATGGGAAAACTGTAGGGTGACTCGTTCGTTTGGTCTTCTTCTCCACTATAGCCTCCCAACTCTCCTCACAACGGTCTATATTTCTTGATAACTTTACTTGTTGGTTTGAGCTCTGCTTCTTTTGTGTTTTTGAGATTACATCCTAATTTTAATTACTAAATAAATCCCTTAGCCTTGGTTTGCATGAAATAGTAATTAATAACTTGATAAATAATAATTACTCTCTACAAATAAGATTAACAAGAAAAATATACAAAAATCAATTGAAAATAACTCTTATAACTTATAAACTTAGATGAAACAATAATATAATTAAGCCATTAAGTATTTTGGCGTACAGGAAATAATTATGATGACTAACACATGGAAAATAGGCATAATTTGACTATCGAAGTCAAGGTACTGCTCAAATGGGCTTTAAGCAAATAGATTTTCTCTATAAATCATTACTAGAACACTCTCAATGGGCTATTATCAGCCTTAAATATTTAATAAACAATTCTAGAGCTGACAATGGGACGTTATCGAAAAATAACGTCACAATATATATAAATATATTTTTCCTAATTTGTTTAGTGTTCTGACTTAGTCGAAGGCATTCTACCGACGGCCTGATATTTTTTTCTCCACAAAATAATTAGATGAATCAATGTCTCTCCTGCCAACTTATCTACGTCAATTAGACTGCTCTCATTAATTCCTAGGTGTTGATATCCCTTCTCAAAGAATCTAGAAGCTTCGAAAACAAAGAGTTTTTGGAAAAACGGTCCGTTGTCTTCAGTATTCATCAGTTACTGGTAGTATTTGTACGTAGCTCGTACTCGGACGACTCTTGGGCATCATCGGACGATACCAACCCACAGACAACTCGTTGTAACAGTCAACTCAAAAAATTCAGACTACTCCTGGTACAGAGACCAGCACAGGAAAACTTACAACTTTCTTGTGATCTTCTACTCAACAGTTAACTCATCAGTGAACTTATCATCAGAAATTTCAGTGAACTCAAGACTGTACGCAGACAATTCAAAGACTCAGTTTTCAGTAAACTCATTTCATGCACTTATCAGATAGACTCTCTGATCATTAGTTTACTTGTTACTGTTACTTTAGTGGTTTATAAATAGCTATTTGTTATTGGTAACTAGTGTCAGCCGATTCATTTACACCCGTTCAACAGTCCTGACTGTTCTAGCATCCAAATATCTTAAAAAATACAGTCCACTTAAGTCTGATTACCGTCCATATGTAATCTCTATTCATCTTTTCCCACTAGCTCATCGAAGTGAAAACATTTAGCAAGATTACGGCAAATAATTGGAGACGCTGATATTAAATAAAGACGTTCACATGTCGATTCAGATCTGGGTAGAGATCGTTAACAAAAACAGCAGCAATAAAATAAAATTTTGAACTATTATAGGTATTCAATGCGTGAATTTTTAGGAGGAATTCTAAATAGAACCGACGTTCAAGACGATATGAGTATGACTATGAGTAGACAATTATGTAAGTGTCATTTGGTTAGTTCGACCACAAAGGTGCTAACTTTCCTACCAACTAACTTCGGCACTAAGTAGTGGTACCAACTTTGAATTTGAGAAAAAAAGAAGTAGATAGTAGCGCCATCCTACAGATTTTTTATAAGCTATATTATAAGTACAACATAACCAATTGTTTTTAGTTTCATTGATTTCTAACCGGCTTTAGTGTTTTGTCGTTATATTTTGTGCGAAGTGAAATTTACGATGGATTTAATATTCTTGGACTTTTTATTGAATGATTCTGATGACGATGATGATAACGATGGTACGCCCAATTTACGCGTCAGACGACCTCGTATTTTTAGAAGAAGGGTTAATTGGGTTTTTTGTATACGATGAGATTGATTTCAAAGCTCGGTTTCGCTTGTTGAAGAAAAGCGTCTTTGAGGTGTATAAAATAGTTGAATCTATGTTACGGCACAACACTGAAAGGTAAGGTAATTGAACATAAATGTCTTTTTTAAACTTTACAGAAACAATGCAGTCCCACCAATGATCCAATTATTACTTGGTATTCGATTTTTATCTACTGGATCCTTCATTATCACAATGAGAGATTTCCACGGAGTTAGTAAAATGGCTGCATATGCTTTCATTCATCGGGTATGCTAGGTAATCGCGACTTTACGTCCGTATTTCATAGTTTTTCCTAGTTCTCCAGGAATACGTCAAGCTCAAATAGAAAATTTCCAAAAAGTAGGATTTATTCACGCAGTAGCTGCTTTTGATTGTTTTCATGCAAGAATGAGATCATATGGTAATGCAACATATCTATGTATATATTTAAATAAATTATAACTTATTCATATATGAATGCAATTTTCGAAATTTGTCTGACTTTTTAGGTCAAGATGATGCTTTACTGTTCACGAAATGGGAAAGGTTTCTATTCAATAAACGTACCAATCATGGTCAATTCTCGTCCCCAGATTTTGGATATAGTAGCAAGTTGGCCAGGCAGTTGTCATGATGCGACAATTCTGGATTTTTCTAACATAAAAACGCGTTTTTCGGCTGGTGAGTTCGGAAATACTCTTCTGATTGGGGATGCGGGCTATCCTCTGGAACCATATTTGATGACACCCTTGCAAAACCCTATGACACCAGTTAAGCTGTTATACAATGAATCTCACATTCGAACCAGAACCATGCCGGATATTCCCAGTTTTAACAATTGGATCAAGATTTTTCCATTCAGAATCAACAGTAGAAGCGATCGTAGCTTTAGCAGTGTTGTGTAATATCTGCAGAATAAATGAACCATCACCTGCTGTAAATAATCCAATATATGGTGTGATTCCTGAAATTGAAAATAATATTCTTCTACACGCTGATGAACGCCAGTATTTATCTGATTATTATTATAGAAGGTAATTAGATATTAAAATGTTCATATTAAATTGTTCACTATACATTTAAATTTTAGAAAAAAAACTATTTTATTTTCTATTATATTCAGAATATTATAAATCCACATGTCACTGTTACAAAAACGATTGATGAAAAAAGCTCAGCCAAGAAAATAAGCATTTATGTTCATGTAGCCGTAAATTTTTTGTTTTCTATTTTATTTTTTTCACTTTCTTAAATTAAATATGTTAAAAAGTTTATCAACGAAAAAACCATCCAATGAAAAATAACATAGAAAAGTAATTTACTTGTGTTTCTTTTCAGCAATTAGTGTCTGTAGAAAAGATTGGAACAATCCAATCCTGCCAATATTGTAACGGTTATTCCAACAATATCAACTTTAGCACCACCAGTTCTTCAAATTACGAATTTTCAACGCTCTTCACGACTTCTTAGCCACAGTTATTCACTTAAGGTTATATAAGGTTGTATACTCGAAAAACATTATCTGAAAAATATACTCCATAATATGATTTATTAAAAATCCTTTTTTTTTGGATAACAATAAATCTCCAAATATAAAGAAATTGGTGACACCAAGTTATCGTCACACGATACCAGAGCCCGTCTAGACCAAAGACTAATTTAAGCAAGACAATATTTAATGAATTGAATGAACAAAATTGAAATGAAAAAAAAAAGTGAGACAATAACTTCTGAATGAATGGTAGCAACAACTAATGCATTAAATCAAACCAATGCTACACACTGTGCTGTAATTGTTCAAAAATAATTTACTTAAGGATTCATGTCTCGTTTATAAGATCTTAGGATGGCTTATCAACATTTGAGTTAATTTAATTATTTACTATCAATAGAAATTCTTTCAGTTTTACCAGAGAAATATTATACCACTGGTTGGGTATTATCAATGCTAACAAAAACTCATTTTGAAATGAATGATTATAAGACAGTTGCTTATAAGCTTCTTTGCTGGCCAGAACTGGAATGACAACGAATGGATCTGATGGAAATGTATAGTACGATTCTATGACATTTACATGCTAAGGTACAAGTTTCAACATTGACTCAAGAATTTTTTTCTGAAGATAGAAATTCACCAGTAGCTTGGTGTGCTGCTAAAAATCTTTTTAAAAATGCTTTAAGGCTTGATCCAAGCATTAAAATGTTTGATTTGGTCTAACAACCATTTTTTTCTAAACAAGAATAGTATAGTCTAGCTGAAGTGCACTTTAAACGTACTCTTAGTGCTTCGAATAAAACAAACAATCCTATACAGTTATGGCGAAAATAAAATTTGTTTGCAAAACATAACAGTAAAATTATAAATTAATCAAATCCTATGTCACCATCTTGATATTAATGTAGGAAATACTTATTAAACTAAAACCAATGTTGTTTTTATTGTATTTGGTACAAAAATTTTATTAATTGTTACAAACACAGATTTTGTTGTTAAAATGTAGAAGTAGGATTATAGTTTGTTCATATACAATCTTGTTTCTAAATATTTATGTAATGAAAACTCAAATAAACTACAACTAGTTTTTTTTTTCTTAATAACCAGTAGAAAAACCTAAGTATTTATTGATAAAATTAACCTTGTTTTTTTAAACATATTCGTAGCATAGTCTATTGAAATACCGAATCATTTTATAAATCTTTATGTAACAAATACTTCAATATACAAACCAGTCTTTTTTTTAACTTCAATCAGTACAATACTTAAGTAGAATACAAAACAATGCAAAAAGTTAAGTATTTATTGTGAAAATAGACTGTTTGTTAAACATATCAGTATTACACTGTTAAACACTATCTTTGATAAATATTTATGTAACAAACACTTCAGTATATAAAAACTAGTCTTTCCTTTTCTCCCTGTAATCAGGACAAAAGCCTCAATATTTAGTCTAAAGCTTTTTTCTTTTTCTCTATTAATTCCAATTCAAGTCACGCTTTTTTCATGACTATTTAATGCGATTCAGCTTCACGATTATTATGTTTCTCTACTGAGCTCTTTATCGTTTTCATCAAATCTAATTCGACTTCTTTCAGATCGACAGTTTCGTCTGTAGATAATGATGTAGCTGGTTGATTTTTAGTCTTTAACTGACCATGTATTGAATCTTAAGTGGTTGGCTTAGAGGTTTTTTTATTTTTTTCATTCGATCTATCCCTCCAATTATGATTATTAGATATTGACCTACCCTGTATTGCATCTTGTAGAGGTTGGCTCAATGGTTTTTTAGTTTCTCTTTCGATACGTCACTCCAATTATCAAGTTCTCAAGTCATTAATAGGTACTATAGATGAGATTCGGGATCAATAGAACAATTTTTTTAATTTTACAGTGATGAATTTTAGTGATGATTAAAATTAAGTTTCATTTCACGAATCAGGACACTAACCTGTTTGTTATAATTCTCATTGAATTTCAACATAACTTTTTTTCGTAGATATTTTTAATTGGAATCATGAAGTAGTTAATGACGTTATGTTCCAAGAGTTACCGAGTTCTCCAGGTACAAGAGCCTGCTGTGTATGCTTCATAAACCAACTAAGAGCAACGTTCGTCCCTTGTGGACATAAGTGTAGATATGCAATTGAATTAACTTATGCAACTGCTCGTGAAACAGTTCTTGCTTCCCCCGTCCGAAGGATGGAAATTGAGTACCTCGCCTACTAGGGCATTACTCCGGGAAATTATAACTCTACTCTCTCCACGACGTACATAGCAACTCAATGTTGCCCTGGTTATTTATGGCCATCTGTATTAACTGCAAATGCTGTCGGTTTCGTCCACATCTTCGGAATCTTGTCTGCTAAATATACACCTCAGGCCACCCTGTTAACTTTCAAGTTTCTGTTCTCTAGGATATGTCGCGTTGACAGATTATGGTTCATCGCGTCCCATTTCATATTGCTCTATGTAGTAGTCTGAGTATAGGGACTTCGAATACGCCGAGCGTGAGACACGTTAGCAACCACCGACCAAAGCGGATAAAAATGGTGCTGCAAAGTCAAAATATGACAGGTAGAACTAGGTACAAATGACTAATTAAAGTCGGACTCGTTGTAGTATATTGTTAAGCCTTGGGCTAGTTACGTGTACCCCCGGGCCTTTTTCAATGCGCAGATAAGCGCATTCCGGAAAACGCCGTCGCGAAAAAAGTAGAGTAATGATTTCCCAGAGGTATGCCCTATTAGACGAGGAAATCGATTTCGGTCTTTCGGACGGGGAAAGGAAGAGTTACTGGATACCCTGCTCAAACATTCCTATTGGAAGAGAATAAATCCTGTAAGATTTTTTAGAATTTGAATTGGAAACATCGTTTTTGGATAGGAAATATATCATATGCATTACAAATGCAATTATTCTCTTTCTGCTTTAAACTACTTGCTAAGAAGAAAATTTGATTAACGTTTAAATTGTTTCAAATTTTTAATTTAAATAGATTAGGCGTCATGTATCTATATTTTAGAATAGCGCAGTCAGCAACGTACGGAACTGTAAACCCGAGGATACTAGGATTGAATCTCACCATCAGCATAATTTTTCGGACAATGTTTCTAATAAATTTTATTTTAGCTTTATACATGATCATCGAATCCGTATAAACAAAAAACCACTACAGTAAATTAAAATTTCTTTTTGTTTAAACTGATGTTTTTATGGTAATAATATCCTATTGAAACGTTCAATACGTTTACCCTTAATTTAATTGCGAATTCTGGAACAACAATATTCCCATTCAATTCTATCAAATCCTAATGGGAAAGATAATAGGATTCAGCGTACCTCAATGGGATTATTGAATAGGATTTATGCGATTTCTGAAGAAAAAAAAACCTTTAATAGGATTCAATAGGAAATATCAGATGCAATTTTCCGACTAAACTTCCTTCTTCCAATAGGATTGTTTAAGCAGAGTTGTGAATTATTTTAATGTTGATCATATATTGTATAATTATAAAAAATATCAAGATTATAATACAAATAATTGTGGACATTCATGTCTCAAATTTTTTGCATAATCAGTTATAAATATGATGTGGAGAGAAACTATTCTTTTCTTTTATATTGATTGTTAAACAGCAAACATCATGGGTGACTTTCTAATATTGATTCTCTCTGGAAACTCATTATTTTACGCTTTTGGACTTGTTGATCTACTTACATTTAATTCGATTCCAAATATGGATGAAGGAAGAAATTAATTTTAAAAAAAATGAAAAATGTCAGTTAAACTATTAATTAGAGTGCTAATTATTGACAAAGATATTCAGTTTAATTGACTACTTATTATTATTTCCCAAGATAATAATAATTGATTTAGTATAGATATACCCAGACGGGAGAGAAGTATTTTTATAACGCTCAGACTCAGCCTAACCAAGGTTTACCAGGAAGTTTTACTTTCTCCCACGATAAGTCCTGTAAATGGATACTTAGTGAAGCTGATTATCTATACATATGTGAAAAGATCCTCAGAAATAACTTGGTAGTAGGTTTTAAATGATAAATGTGACCAAATCTGTATAGAAAACAATATAAAACAGTTTATTAATAATAATTAACACACACACACACCAATAACGTATATACAGGTTTTTTATAATTGCCGCTAATTTTGTGGATTTTGAACAGTCGGTAATATCCTTACTTAACTCAGATAATAATAATAATACTTCGCGGTTCTCGCGATCACAGATCAACGGTACGCTCAGCACACACGGTTTTCACACAGGTGAAATGTCGCGTTCACACACACACACACACACACACACACACACACACACACACACACGCACACACACAGACCCTAGTAAGACGACGAAGAGGTGAAATGCTCACACCCTTTGTTGTCGTTTTCAGAACGCCAAAAGAGTTGACTTAAAGCGGTGAAATACTCACTCACCTCAAATCAGGTCAAGTAGGTGAAATGCTCACACAGGCTTGACTGACAAATACGGTCTCGTGCTGCACCAAATTTTCCAAT